GAGTTTGGGGGAAAATAAAGAAGGGTTGACGAAAGAAAGGGCAAAAAGGGTATGGAGTCTATTATATCAGGGCACTAATTTACTTTAGGGGCAAAAGGGTGGATTTTTTTGACTAAAAGGGCATCAGGGTGCTGCACCCTGTTTACCCTGCCTAGAATGAGCTCTGATTATAATAAATATTTACCATACAAAATATTTTTGTATTCACATAAGTCTAATAACTTATAACATTAATTTTTATTCATTTTTTTAAATAAACAACTATACATAAATTTAAATGCTGTTTCAAATAATGAAGTAGAAGTAATTTTCCAATAAATACTTCTTACCTAGATTAATCTTCTAAATTTAAATATTAATGTTCTTTTTGTGTCAAATATTTGCACAAAATTTTTGTGTTTATTTGTATTCACTTTTTTCATAGTAGTCAAAACTGTATTGCACAGAAAACACCATTTTATCTTTCACTGAAATAAAGACTCGACATTAAATGTCCTGTTTTCTTTCTTTAATTTTCTTCTCTTACAATTGGGCTTGATGGAGGAACAACCAATAGTATCTTTAAGAAAGCGTATGCTTACTTAAAATACAATAAAATAGTGTGTTAATAAAATATCAGAATCGATAAAATAATAATTAGAGTTTCACAATGGAATAAGTGACAAAATTATTACAAATAACCACAAATCGCAACATAAAGGCGTAGTGTTTTTAAAAAGTATTTATTTTTGATGTATGTTTTTTAAAAGCCCTTAAAGCTGCATTTTTTATTCGGGGTATGTATAAAAAGTACTTAAGTGCTCTTGTAAAAAGAGGTTTTTTCTTTACCGTATCGATTGTTGTTCTAAATAAAGTAAAAAAATTCATGATTTTTGCAATATTTATCAGAAACGAGTTAATTTATCATGATTATGTAAAGTTTTTGAAAATGTTTTTGAATTTTATTGATTTTATGTTTATAAATTAAGAACTTTGAACAATACAAGAAAAAAAATATTACTGCACAGATCCTAATTATGATATTTTTTGGAAAGTGATTTAAAATATTTTTTGAGTGCTTGAAAAGTACTTTAAAGGTGCTTATTATTTGTTAAAANGAACTTTAAACGATACAAGAAAAAAAAATATTACTGCACAGATCCTAATTATGATATTTTTTGGAAAGTGATTTAAAATATTTTTTGAGTGCTTGAAAAGTACTTTAAAGGTGCTTATTATTTGTTAAAAAATCTGGCTAGTCCCCCTGAAAAGGGAATGCGAGGCTACAAAAAAATGGGTACTGCCTAAAAATTAAAAAGTGTGACAGACTGCCAATAATTTCAAACCGTGAAAAATTGATAGAACTGCAGCATTCTAATTCGTACTTTTTCAGAAACGATTTTAAAAAAGAATGTCGAAGATATATGTATGGCTACAGTCTAGTTGCAATTTTCCTGAGGTCTGATTTGTTAAAAATTTAATTTATTGCAGTTATGAAATATTTTAATTTAGCTGACATTTAAAAATAAAAATCCACACCATTAATGTTTAAAAGCTTTTTATAACAATAAATTATATTTTGTATCCAAGAAAAAAGCTTTTGCTTTACAAAATATTTATTAAAAAAAAAAAAAAAAAAAAAAAAAAAAAAACAAAAGTCTGATAGCTATATCATAAAGAAAATAGCCTAAAAATAAAAAAAAAATTTATAAAATCAAATACGTAATAGTCAGATTCTTAAAAAAAAGGCTCTAAAAATAAATGGTATGATAAAGAATTCAATCTTTATAAAGTAGGTGTTTAAGCTATTTTAAAATGATTGCAACCCTTTGAGATGAAATTGAATGAGCAATCTAAATAATAAAAAAATTTTACTATATGTGATTTTTAAATCAAATTCAGTTAAAGACATTTATTATCGAAAAAATATTTGTCAGACATTTAAACACGGACAGACCTAAGACACCAAGCACAATTTTCGTGAGAAAAAAAAACAAACTCAAAATTGGATTGAACTGCTATCTGCTTGTAGATCCAAGGAACAATAACGCAAAATCACAATATTTACTCACATTGTGTCTGGTAGAAATAAAAAAAAAATGGAATTGTAATTTTAAAAAATCATAAAACATTTTAATTAATCATTTGTAATAGTCATTTGAGATTGTGAAAGAAAAAAAAATTTCAATAACTTTGTTTTCAGAAAAACTGAGTAAAAAAATTTAACATACAGCAAAGCTTTTTTTCTTCTTTTTTATCTCCTTCCTCATTATTAGGATTTATTAATAATTTTAGAAAAGTCACCTTTTACTGAAAAGCTACACTAAAATTCTTACTCTTAAAATCACTAAAAGAAGACACGTCACACTTCTGATAAATGACATCGTCTTTATAAATCTTTTGCAGGTCAGAAATTAATTCATTCGGTGTTTCCTTGATATCACAGATACAAACCTAAAGGGAATATGCATAATAATATGTATTAATGCACAGTAAAAAATTTGTCTTGAAATTATGAAATCGATATATATTTATACAGTCAATTCAAATCTTGTAGAACAGACAAAAAATTTTGACCTATTGTAGGGGTGATTGTGAGTCCGACTTAAAAATCCTGAAAATTTCTTGAGCAAAATCATAAATTTAAATCATTGGTATTTTCAAAACATGAAATTCTAAATAAATTACATCCAACATAATTTAAAAGAATAATTAATTATATGTTTACTTTTATCTCTATAATCACTTTTATTATTCTACCAGAAAAAAAAATATATTAACGAATGAAAGAGATGGCAAGTATAAATTCTAGTTCTAATATTTTTAAATAAAATGTAGAAGAATTTTTTTACATAAATATGACGATGATTTCTTGAAATTTCTGGACCTTGGATTTCCGGAAACTTCCAGAAAACGGTTTACGAAAAATCCAGAAATCCGGATTTTTTCCGGAGCACAATCATCTCTGCTTATTGTAAATCCAACTGTCTGTTAGTTTCAGTTTTCAAGTTCAAAAATAAATGGATATTTAAAGATATTGGATTTAAGGATAATTTTCTATGCTTAGAGATCTTTAGCTACACTAACAGCGAAAGATAAATATGGTGCTAATCTAGACCTTGGTGAGTTAGAAATGAATGAGATAAATTTGAATCTATATATCTACATTTAATCCTTTCGTTTCAATGCAATAAAGCACAATATTGATGCTGACAATGCAAGCAATATGGACAAAAGAAAACAAATTTATGTACTCATTTTTAGACAAAAGTCTGATTTTGATAAATTATTTTCACCAGTTGAATCTAGAGCATCTGAAAATGTAGAACAGGATGTGTAGCTAAATTATACAACAAAAAATAAACACCTTTCCAGCACTCAAAAAAATATTTTTAAGCATTTTAAACGAATATCAATGCAACCGTGATATCAAAGAAAAAATTCCTTTTGACATTGTTTTTGGCAATTGTCAAATATCATGAAATTTTGAATCATAAAACGAATGGCTACGGACTGACTATACGCCAAAAATAATTGGGGTTGAATTAATTGTGAAAACGTTGAATGGAACAATGTGAACTGTGTCTTTTTGCATAATTCGATGCGAAAATTAACACAGTAAAGGGAAAATCTCATTTTGAAAAAGGAAAAATTAAGCACTTTTTAAACACACCTTGAAGGGCTTTTAAAAATCGAAAATAAGCACCTTTAAGCACTTTTTAAAAATGCTATGCACCCTGTAGAAATGTATAAAAGAGCCCTGATAAAATCTAATATGCATGGATTTCAAGTTAAACCTATCTAATGATATTCTTATAGTTTCCCACGGGTCGCTGCCTAGAAGTTGCCAATATTTGGCAATTATTCTGACACAGATCACAATACAGAAATCTTCCCTAACATTTAGTGCTTGGTAAATATAAGAATATGAGAGGGAAAAAAATGAGATTTTAAAAATTTAGGAAATTTTGCCCTAGTAGTATGTCAGACACATTGAAAATAATAATAGAAAATAAGTATCAAAGCAATGACAGCTTTTAACTGCCAAGCAAGTCATAATTAATCCTGTTTAACAGCATTTAGAAATAACTATAAAAAAGGTTTAAAAGTATTTTCCTAAAACAATTCAAAAAAAAAAAAAAACTAGCTTATAATATAAGCTAGTTTTTTTTTCTTTTGATAATTTGCCTCTTAACTTTTTTTTTTAAACAAATTGCTAAAAAAATGCAATATTGTAGAATAATTTTATTAAGAAAAGGAAAATACTTTTATATAGTGATTCCTAAACGCTTCATTCTAAAAAATATTATTTTTTTGAATAAAAATTAAAGCAGATTGAATTAATTGCATATGCAAAAAAAAAATATTCATTATCTTCCTGCTATGGTCATTTTTTAAAACCCAATCATACTCAAAGAATATGTTTTTTCTATTTAAGAAACTAAAGAGGTTCTTATATTTACTATTTTAAGTGAAAGGGTTATGCTCTATATATTAATATAACAGAAAATAAACATATACTAAGTAATTCAACTAAAGAGTGTGAAGTTTCGAAAATTTGTGGCAAAAAGTAAAAATTTAATCTTATTTTATATCTAAGTGGTTAAATCTAATTTTTTAATTCTTTCTAGCATCAAATGTTTCTTTACTTTCATTCCCATTTTTAATAGAAGTGAACAATATGATTTTCCTATTCCTTGGGCTCCACCTGTAACAATAGCGACCTTTTTTTCGAAATCCATGACAAAATACAATTAAAAAAATTTCTCAAAAGCAATTAAATTTCTAATGATTTAATCGACGGTAACTCGTAATCTTTCGTTTTTATTCTTGTTTTTGTTTGTTTTTATCACAAATTGAAGGAAACGGATCATGGGTGCTTATTTTCGTGGAGGTCCAATCAAATACATGCTTAACAACCTCACCAATAAATTTCTATATTTTGCATATATAATTAGTGTCGTGGCGCTATTATCACTCAAGGTTATATTTCGGTGGAAGTGTCTGGGATTTGATGATCTGTTCACAGCAGATATTTAATATTCGTAATTTCAAAACTTACACTTTTTTATTGTTCAGCACTTAAGATCTTTTTCAACTTTGCTTAATTCCAAAAAACTATTTTAAGAACATTAGAAATCGGAAACCATAGGGTAAGATATCTTTACATAAAACCCTTCTGTTTTTCATTCATTTTTACAATAAAAAGAAATTGACAAAAAATGTAAAAAACGTATTTCTTTTCTTATTTTTCCATTCATCACACTTAACTAAATTTCAAATATACAGTTAGCAAAAAAGTAAAAATATATGTATTATAATAAATAATAAACCGCAAATTATACCATATCTCGAAAAAATATTTTTTATCACAATTTTCAAATTTGTCTACCCAATGAAGGATAATTCAATGTTATGTTATAAAAATTTAAAAAGCTTGTAATTTTAGTAAGCTTCTCACTGGATTGAAATTCTTACTTGAGAAGATCGCACCTCTTTTTGTATGATAAATTTTCTTTATTGAATACAAACCAAGGAGAACTTTTTAAAATATGTTCATTTAATTGACGATGGAATATGTGCGATGAATTAAATGGAATATTTACAATGACACGAAAAGTCAATAAAATTTAAATTAACTACAAAGTATAGAAGCTCCTGATTTGTATTGCATACGGCCAGTTCAAAATTATATAATGAGTAAACATCTACCCAATGTTTCATTGCAGGTCAAAGATGAGAAATAAGCAAGTCTCAAATATAAGCAAACACATCTAATAAGGAACACGCACTTACAAAGAAACAGATAAAAATCAAAAATACAGAGAATAATCTGAGTTCTTCCCTCCCTGTAAGCCATCTGGCATGCTCAAAGTTAAAGCAATCTGCACACATTTAGCTCCATGTTAAAGCGAAACTACTCTCCACAATTTCCAATTTTATTAAAATGTATGATAAAGAAAAATTAGATACTTTGAAGAAAATAGACGGTATTTAGTGTGAAGGTCAAAAGATGCAGCATTTATATGATTTGCCTTAAATCATGGATTCCCACGAGATGTTCTGCCGCAGAACCCTAAAGTTCCGTAGATGAGTCACAGGGAGACAGTGGCGTACGCAAGGGAGGGGTTTAGGGGTTTAAACTCCCCCCTTGAGCTCAGACAAAATGGTAAAAATGAAAATTTTAGTAGAAATTATGCGGCCTATTATTTTTTAAGACTATAGATTTTTATTTGTCTTATGCCTACTTTTTTTTTCTCACGGTATTTCTCAGAACACTAAAAAAACATTTACTACAATAGGGTTGTACTTTTGAAACCAAATTCACGTGATACTGTTACGGACTGGTTTCCTTCTGTCCTGCCAGTCGCGATAGTTTTCGAGACTGGCTTTCATTCGCGAGGTCTTTGCGCGATGATTCTGGAATCCCACACGTTCTGTCGTGTTTGAGACAATTCGAGAATTTTGGAGTGGCGGTGAAAATTTATATAAAAGAGGGAACGGAGAACAGTGGAGTTAGTTAGTCAGACTAAGAGTTATCTCTGCCGTTTGTCTTGCGGAGCTCGTTGCTAAATCTGATTTGTTTTGTCTTAACAAAAAGTTCATTTAATCGCCGAACCCGTCGTCTTCGTTATTTCGAGTAGTGAAGAAATCAGTAACAATACTATTGGAGATACTGAGCTCGTTGAAGTTATTCATTCCAGCTCGAAGCTTTAAGATCGTAGCATAGCGGATATTTCTGTGCCAATATATATATTTGCTGTTCTTGGATCTTTAGAATGTCAAAACGCAAGAATTTAACAATTTTTAATTATTTTGAGAAAAAATCACGACCTGAAATTAGTGAGGTGAGAGCATCTAGTACCAATGTAAGTTTTTCTGTTGAACAGAAATGTGACACTTCCGTTGAAGAAAACGTTTCTATCACATCAAAATCTGATGAATGTGAAAGTGGCCCTCAAAGTGTTACTTCCCACCCATAGGAGATTGAACCTTTTTCAGAAGATATTACATGCGAGAAGATATCACATTAAGTTCTTAAACTTAAAAAATCAAATCAAAATTTAACTTAACAATGTTGTCGAAATAAAAAGTCAAATTATCTGGCTATCTAAATTAGGGAAATAATAGTACTTTATTACATACTCGAATTTCTTTTAGTAGTTTCAGAAAATCATGAACACCCCCCTTGAAAAAATTCTGCGTACGCCACTGCAGGGAGATATCTACAGAGTAAGGACTTTTTTTCGGATTATTTACTATTCAGATTATATACTAAAGAAAGAAAAAAAATGTATGAATTATACCTTGATAATACAGGGACCAAGGGGGTCTTGAAATTTGAACCTTTCTCGAGACATTTCATTTTTTTATTCTTTTTTTATTTTATTATTCCATTACGCTTTCTTTGCTGGACTTCACACACAAAAAACACCCCATGCATGCTAGAATATCCAAAATGTTACAATAGAAGTCGAAAAAGAGCAAATAAACTGATTTTCCTGGATTTTTCCAGTTTTTTCCCGTTTTCCCAATAATTTTTTTTTCCTACATGCAGGATCCTCCAGAATATCGAAAAACACATAAAAAAATAATATAATTTAAAAAAAAAAAAAAAAAAGAAAATTTTTTGAAAATTTGACCGTCCCTGGGATTCGAACCCAGGACCCCTCCCTCCTGCAGCGAACTTGCTTGTCTGGTGGCCTACCTTCCAGTCCACGGTGATACGTGAAGCCTACCACAGTTTCGCTTCAAAAGCTCTCTCCTCTCATCTTCGCAATATACCTTTAGGGGCCCACTGTGACCCCCCTAATTGGCCTATAAAAATTATCTTCAGCAGCCTTGTTTGGACCATAGACCCCTACTTAGGGCCCGAGTTTGAAAATTATACCTTGATATTAAAGGGAGCTAGGGGGTCTTAAAATTTGAACCTTTCTCGAGCAATTTTATTTTTTTAACCTTTTTTTTATTATTATTCCATTGCGCTTTCTTTGCTGGACTTCACACACAGAAAACACCCCATGCATGCTAGAATATCCAAAATGTTACAATAGAAGTCGAAAAAGAGCAAATAAACTGATTTTCCTGGATTTTTCCAGTTTTTTCCCATTTTCCCAATAAAAAAGAATTTCCTACATGCAGGAACCTCTAGAATATCGAAAAGCACATAAAAAAAATAATATAATTTAAAATAAACAAGAAAAAAAAAGGAATTTTTTTGAAAATCTGACCGTCCCTGGGATTCGAACCCAGGACCCTTCCCTCCTGCAGAGAACTTGCTTGTCTGGTGGCCTACCTTCCAGTCCACGGTGATACGCGAAGCATACACCAGTTTCGCTTCAAAAGCTCACTCCTCTCATCTTCGCAATATACCTTTAGGGACCCACTGTGACCCCCCTAATTGGCCTATAAAAATTATCTTCAGCAGCCTTGTTTGGACCATAGACCCCTATTTAGGGTCCGAGATTGAAAATTATACCTTGATATTAAAGGAAGCTAGGGGGTCGTGAAATTTAAACCTTTCTCGAGCCATTTTATTTTTTTATTCTTCTTTTTTATTGTTCCATTACGCCTTCATTGCTGGACTTCACACACAGAAAACACCCCATGCATGCTAGAATATCCAAAATGTTACAATAGAAGTCGAAAAAGAGCCAATAAATTGATTCTCCTGGTTTTCTCCAGTTTTTTCTCATTTTCCCAATAAAATAATTTTTTTCCCTACATGCAGAAACCTCAAGAATATCGAAAAACACATAAAAAAAAACAATATAATTTAAAATAAACAAAAAAAAGGAAAATTATTTGAAAATTTTACCGTTCTGGGATTCGAACCCAGGACCCCTGCCTTCTGACAGCGATTTTGCTTGTCTGGTGGCGTACCTTCCAATCCACGGTGAAACGTGAAGCCTACCACAGTTTCGCATCAAAAGCTCACTCCTCTCATCTTCGCAATATACCTTTAGGGACCCACTGTGACCCCTCCAATTGGCCTATATAAATTATATTCAGCAGCCTAGTTTGGACCATAGACCCCTACTTAGTGTCCGAGTTTGAAAATTATACCTTGATATTAAAGGGAGCTAGGGGGTCGGGAAATTTGAACCTTTCTCGTGCCATTTTATTTTTTTATTCTTTTTTTTTTATTGTTCCATTACGCTTTCATTGCTGGACTTCACACACAGAAAACACCCCATGCATGCTAGAATATCCAAAATGTTACAATAGAAGTCGAAAAAGAGGAAATAAATTGGTTTTCCTGGATTTCTCCAGTTTTCTCCCATTTTCCCAATAAAATTTTTTTTCCCTTCATGCAGGAACCTCCAGAATATCGAAAAAAGCATTAAAAAAATGATATAATTTAAAATAAACAAAAAAAAAAGAAAATTTTCTTAAAATTTGACAGTCCCTGGGAATCGAACCCAGGACCCCTCCCTCCTGCAGCGAACTTGCTTGTCTGGTGGCCTACCTTCCAGTCCACGGTGATACGCGAAGCCTACCACAGTTTCGCCTCAAAAGCTCTCTCCTCTCATCTTCGCAATATAGCTTTAGGGGCCCACTGTGACCCCCCTAATTGGTTTATAAAAATTATCTTCAGCAGCCTTGTTTGGACCATAGACCCCTACTTAGGGTCCGAGATTGAAAATTATACCTTGATATTAAATGAAGCTAGGGGGTCGTGAAATTTAAACCTTTCTCGAGCCATTTTATTTTTTTATTCTTCTTTTTTATTGTTCCATTACGCCTTCATTGCTGGACTTCACACACAGAAAACACCCCATGCATGCAGAATATCCAAAATGTTACAATAGAAGTCGAAAAAGAGCAAATAAATTGATTCTCCTGGTTTTCTCCAGTTTTTTCTCATT